AGCACTGGAAGAGGAGAATACCACTGGAAAAGGAGAACACCACTGGAAGAGGCGAACACCACTGGAAGAGGCGAACAGCACTGGAAGAGGAGAACACCACTGGAAGAGGAGAACACCACTGGAAAAGGCGAAACACAACCGCATTCAGAGTGCTTCCCAACACACAGGGCTGCTGGATCAGAATCCCCTTGCCCGTTTCAAGTCCAATCATAACAGACGAATCAGAACTCTCCCTAGGTTACCAGGAGCACTGGACGTTTCTTCTGTAAACCACAGGGTGCTCTTGGCGACGCCGTGCAGGTCCCTGTGCCATCATGGGACTGTCAGGAAGAATCGGAAGGAGAGAGAAGAGCTGCAGACTACCGGGTGGGCTCTTAGTGCCTTTCCCCTCCCTGTTACAGAATCGAGTTTGAGACCTGTCTTTTCACTCTGTAACTTATATTCAGGCTACTCCGTGTTACAGATAAAAATCAGCTTGAAAAAACTCCTCTGTTTTAAAACGGTCCTCATTCTGTAGTGTGAGCTCCCCACAGTCCTGAGCACTCCCGCAAAGCGACAGAGCAGCAAGGGTCCTTTAGGTCCTCTGCGGTGGGCGGTGGCTTCCTTCCGTCAGCACCAGGAGCCAGACCTTGCTCTCTGCTGCAGATCTGCCTGGGCCTCTGGAAAGCGCGCGAGCTTATCAGGCACCTGGGACTTCTGGAGCGACACAGACAGACACAGTAGAATCCTGGAGATGCCTCTGACTACCTACCGAGTGAATCCTGGCACAGACAAGGAGCGAAACGCAAGGATGAGATGGTTCTAAGAAGCAAAAAGAAACATGGAGAAGAACGGGGACTGGCGACGGGAGAGGCGTGGCCGGCCAAGCCCAGAGCGAAGACGGCTGTGGAGAGGGTCTCGGAGAAGACACCACCTGCTGAAACGGCCTGGCCCTGGGGCTGGGGGAGCAGCTGTCACCCCGGGCCTCAGCAGGAGTCCTGGTGAGGGTGGCACTGCCGGTCGAGTAGGAGAGGGGGCTGGATGGCGCCCCGGGACCCAGTGACCGTCCTCCCTCACCACAGCATGTCCGTGGGCAGAACAGACAGGGAAGGTGTCCTCCCCCGGACTGCATTCTGCAGGCCAAGGGAAGGGACTAGAAATCCACCAGTGTCTGATTCACAAGTCAAGGACAGAAGGGGCTTTCTCTGAAGGGAGAGAGGTCACACAGTGAGGCAGGCCAGTGGGTGCTCTTCTTAGAGGAGCCTCTGACTGCCGAAAGGGGAAACTAAGAAGTAGAGGTCGAAGGGGAGAGGACGCCATGCAATCAGAGACCAGGATTAAAAGAAAATTGGTGCCTCAGTCTACCTCCTGGTGGCTCAGTGAAACACAGGACTGGATGCAGTCTGAGGACAGTCCCTGCAGGAGGGGCTGGAGACCCGACTCACCACCAGGGAGTGGGTTCGTTTTCAGGACACACAGTGAAGGGCAGGGAAGAGGTAAGACAAGCTGAGGAACCACACATCCAGAGAAGCAGCGCAGGCCCAGACAGCCGGAGCTTACAAACAAGCCCGCTCCAGCAGCAGGACATAAAATAGACATAAAAGAGCCGGGTGTGGTGGCGCACGCCTGTCATCCCAGCACTCGGGAGGCTGAAGTAGGAGGATCGCTGTGAGTTCAGCCTGGGCTACATAGTGAGTTCCAGGTCAGTCTCAACTACATAGTGAGACCCTGACTCAAACCCCCCCCCAAAAAAAAATCCCCCAGCAAAAAAGACATAAAAATCAAGAGCTTTTCTATGTACCAATAATGGGCTTAAAAAAAAAAAAAAAACATGAAAGCAATCCCATTCACAATAGCCATAAGAATAATGTAAAATACCTAGGAGTAAACTTAAGGAAGTGAGAGACCTCTCCAGTGAAAATTACACAACACCAAAAAAAAAAAAAAAAAAAATGAGGACACTACAAGCCAGAAAGACTCCCTCAGATAGTGGATAGAAGAATCAATAGTCACACGGGCATGCTACTGAACGTGATCTACGGATTCAATGCAATCACCATGAAAATGCCAGTACTGCTCTTCACAAAAGCAGATAAAACAGTCCTACAACTCAGAGAGAATCAGAAACGACCCTGCACAGACAAAGCAATCCTGAGCGAAAGGAGTGAAGCCGGAGATAAGGCGATGCCAAACGCAAAACACGCTATGGTAAGAAAACGGCCTGGCAGGACCCAGAAATAACGCTGCGCACAGCCGGGGTCCGAGGCTCACTCGCACCGGGTAAGAGGCAGCCCCTTCGGCAGTGGTGTGTGAAAACGACTGAAACTGGATCTCGTCTCTCGCTCTGTGAAACATCATCTCACAGTGGACTGAGGACCTAAATGTAAGAGCTGAAACCTTGAAACTGCTAGAAGGGGCCACACGGGGATACCTCCAGATCCCGGCACAGGGGAATTCCTGAGCGTGACTCCAGTGGCTTCGGAAATAACGGCAGGGACTGCCAAATGGGATTGCGTCAAGTTAAACACATTCTGCACAGCAAAGGAAACAATCCACAGAGCAGAGAGACAGACAACGGAGTGACAGCCATGCCAGCTCCTCCTCACAGAGGATTCATAGTACCAGAATAATCATTGAAAAGACAGGAAGAACAAGGACTCCAGTCAACCAACAGGCAAATGAACCGGAAGGCATCGGGCACACGATGAAGGAAAGGCCACTAATTGCATAAAAAGGCGTTCATCATCATCAGCCATCGGGGAAATGGAGACCACCCGTCATGCGGCTATCAGGGATGCACACAAAAATAATACATGCTGCCCACCAGTTGGAGACTGGATAAAGAAGATGTCTTTTTTTTTCTATAAAATGGGATACTACTCAGCCATAAAGAATGAGAAATTAGAGTCATTCATAGGAAAATGGATACATATTGAGGATATACTCCTAAGTGAAATAAATAAGTCACACATGTGTAAACACCGAATAGTTTCTCTACTGTGAAAAACTATAATGGTACATAAGATCCTAATGATATAATTGACAATGTGAAATAGGAAGAAAAGGGCTAAATGTGTAGGGGAAGTGGGAAGGGTAGGGAATAAGGGAAAAGAAAAAAATATGAGAAAATGAAAAAATGGAAATAAAGTTTTGTAAATAGAGGAGGGGAGGAGGGGGTGAAGGGAGGGCAGGGACAAGGGGAAAAAATGAGAACCAAGACCTGTCATGTAAAGGTACAAGATCTCAACAATGAATGTAACTGTACTGTATCCCTAAAGTGTACCAATAAATTCAATGAGGAAAAAAAATAATACATGCTGGCAAAGAGAAAGAAACCTTTACACACTGTGGGAGGGACAGAATTTGCACAGCCACTAGGAGATCCGTGTGCAGGCTCCTCAGAAAGCTGCACAGTGCTGTGCAGTTCCAGGGAGCAGCAGATCGCAGCCTGCATCCTCGGGCTCACACGGCACGGTGCACGCCAGGATCGGCTCAGGAGCTGCCGAGGACCTAGAGGCAGACGTTGTGTGACATCTACACAGCCAGAAAGAAGGAAAGCGGGGCGTCTAAGGGAGACAGGCCAGATGGGCGTGATCCGTGCTCAGTGTGTGCAAAGGCCACAGCGAGTCCTACTGATTGCACAACTGCCGTGTGTCAATACTCGGGATCAGAAAGTTTCTTCTGCCAGTTGTACAAGAACTGTGGCCTAAACAAAGCACAAGTTTCCCACTTAAGAAATACAAATAGAATGTAGTTTCCTCCTTGTATTTACCACTTTCCTTGGCCAAGTTCCTAGAATGTTGAGAATATAATTTATGGTTGAACTTACTGGTCTTAAAAGTAAGACTGGGAGCCAGGGATTTAGCTCAGTGGTTCCATCGCCTGCCTCGCAAGCGCAAGGACCCGAGTTCAATCCATGGTACCAAAAGAAAGGAAGACAGGAAGGCAAGCAAGCTGGTCTTGAATAGAAGGATAAAGAAGCAACTCTGATGGGAAAAGCGTCTCAGAGTTTAAGTGAACGCGTTTTCTAGCGGCTGTCTGCAGCACTAGCCTTGCTGGCCCACTGCACAACCTTCCTGGAGGGACCGCAAGCCTCAGCAGTTTTTATGACGAAGCCGAAAAGGACGCAGGTGTGTGTTTCTCCCACATAACCATGGAACCCAGGTTGCCATAAGGGAGCCCCAAGGAGCTTCTGCAGGTATCAGCTACTGTGGGATTCATTTGAAACCTGGGGGACAGCTTTCTAATCAGAATTATTATTTCCTACTAGCTGATCTGAAAGGAATCACAATTTTAAAAACATACCTTCTACTCTACTCACAGCAAGCAGCTACTCAAGAGTCTTCATGTAGAAGAAAAGAAACGACTCAACTCCTAAAGTAACAAACACTGACTTTTCCTCGAGACCTTCCAACTCCGGGGCCGGTGCTAGGCTGTCTCTGCCCTTAGATTCTGGTGTACAGCAGGTCTCTCCCAGCCAGAGACCCCCACCCGGAAGGTTTCACAAACCCTGTGAAAAGCTAACCACTTCCTTACGCCACAGCGACACTGACAACTTCGGTGGACGTAGCTGTTCTTGCGTTCCGTGAGATGCCAGGCTGATTTCTCACCCCATGACCAGCGAGGCTCTGGGCAGAGCACAAAGCTGCCAGCCAGGGTACTGGATCTTGGCCGAGCTGGAGGGGCACAAACCCCCCCGCTTGTACCGGCTTTTGCAGTTACAACCGAGGGTTCCTGTTCGTGATTTGTCCTGACAGCCAAGTGGGTGCTGCAGGGGCTGGGAGGGGCTGGGAGGAGTTACAGGGCCAGGAGCCCATGTTAATTAATCAAAATAAACACCAGTCTTTAAACAGAGACAAAGCAAGACTGCATCTCAATCAGCTGGCAAAACTGGAAACTGAACCCCATCTTCCCCCAGAGGAATGGTTCAGGGCCGGCAGCACAAGTGCCGTGGAGGTACGTACAGGTGCGCTGCGTACACAGGTGCGCGTAGCGTGTATGGGTAATGAGAAAGTACTCACCACAGGCACCGTGTCATAAAGAATTTTGGGGTAGGATTCTGCGAGTTTCTTGATCTTCCTGTTCCAAGAAGCTCCATCCAGAAACAATCCGTGAATGTAAACACCTAAATGCAAAATAAAAGTTAAGGGAGCACTTCAGTATTCCGGTGTGATTGGCTCGGGACCTGAGAGGCCTACTGTGAGCACCCGGCCCGAGGTGCGTCCTGAGGCAGAAGCAATCTCCCGTGATTTGCTTCAACAACCCCATTTCAGGAACATCCCTACTTTGCCTTGAAGAATAAGGCAATGGTAAAATTGGGTGAGGAAGACAAGAGGAAGGAGGTAACTCACCCATGATTAAAACATGGAGCCAGAAGCCAGGAAATCAGCAAAAACAAGTTCTTAATGTGAAATTTGGGATCCAGTTACTGTGGGGCAGCAGATGAACACAGCATTCCTCTTCAGGGCCCTGAAGTCCTAGCAGGCGAGCTTCTGCTCCCCTCCTTAGACCATTCCTACTGCGAGATGCCTTGCTCTGGGTAATGCAGGGGTGCACAGATGAGGTCCCTCTAGAATCACACCAGCAGTTAAAGAGGAGCGTGCAGGCTGGGTGTGGTGCACACCTGTAACCCCGGCACTTGGGAGGCTGAGGCAGGAGGATTGCTGCGAGTTCAAGGCCAGCCTGAACTTCACAGTGAAAGCATCTCAGACCAAAAAGGGGTGTGGTGCGGGAGCACACATTAGGGAATCGATCACATGGGGTCATTTTCTCTGGTTCAACGCAGCTGCAAAGCCTCACGGACTGAATACAGGTATCTGCACATGAAGATGCTCACTGGACTCCCACAGACACCATGAGGAGCCTAGCAGAATTTAGAGAGAATGAAGTGTTTGCTCCTAATTTGATGTGTGGCCTTGAGCCAGTCACTTAATTTCGGACCCTGTTTTGTCCAGAGATCCTTTGTAGCACCTCCACGCCTGCCATCTGCCAGCAGAGCTGTCCCTGTCCCCTTCACCGGCCTGCGCCCAGATAACTCCATCCCTGTGCCTGCAGTGCTGTGGCTACCGGCTACGTGTGGCTCGGGGATTCTGGCTGAACAACAGATGTTCGGGAACCGCCCCTTCTCTCTGCTGGGTTTTAACAGATAAAAGAATTTGGAGTAAAATTTCAGTTTTATTAACGGGCAAAGCATCTGCCTGATAGCTGCCAAAATAGAACCCTGGCGAAGAGCCACGACACCGCCGTGACCGTCCTGAGAGGACAGGTCCACCCCACATCCCAGCCTCCCAGCCACCCCAGGCTGCAGGCCAGCGACCACCACAGGGGTGGACAGAGGGGAGCTCTACAGTACCCCGTGGGAGACACGGGCCGGGGAATCTCTGCCTGCAGCCAATCTGATCATTTTTTCTTCTCTTGAGAATCAAGGAAACGTCCCAGCAAGTAAACAGAAGAGCCCAACACCTAGAAAAGTGGAAACGGGAATGAACGTCCCTTTCTACCCCGCGATTTTATAGGAAATGTGACAAGGGGGTGTGAATGCCCTTGTATCTCCATGGCCAGTGAGGCCGAAGGAAAGCACCAGACAGAAAATGCCACAGCTGTTGAGGTCTTGCCTGTGGTAGCTCCAACTCTAAGGGTGGCACCTCTGCCCTCTGGGGAATGGCCCGGCCCCTCCTCACCACTCTGACCACGAGTCACCCGGAAGAACCTAGCCCTTCGGGTAAGAGGCGGCCCAGGCACACACGTCTGAAGAGGCAGCACTGCGCGCGAACAGACCCCCGTACTGTCACACCTTTCAACTTAGCCTCGGGTGATGACACGGACTTGCTCATGAGGCCCAGCAGCCAGAAAGAGGCACATGTTGGAGGGTGTAAAGGAGACAGACTGGTGCAGGGGGAGAGGCTGGAGAGAAAGAAACTTTGGTTCTAGCCCACGCTGTTCCCAGGTAGGTTATTGTGTCCCTTCTATCAGGGTCCTGTGAGAAAATGATTCCTCTGGGAAAACCCCACTGCTCCAAATCATTTCATGGAGTCTGCCTGTCCTTCTGACATTATGGAAGTAGGAAGGGGAAACCGGGCAGATCGGTCGGCTAGCTTTGGGCATGTGTGCTCACGGGTGAGAACGTCTGTATCCATCCGTGTGTGCACGAGATAATAAAACTCGTGACTTAGTAAACACCCCTCGGCAGTTAGCTATCAACCCCCGGCCACTGGTAAAATGGTTTCTTGCACAGATGGTTACTTGATAGTCTGGGAACACCCATGTGTCTTTGTTGATCATTAAATATGTGGTGCTATATGTCCTAGGCCAGTGTTTTCCAGGCGATACTGGGTGTTAATGCCTCCTTTAATAAGAACGGCTGAAGGTTAAATTAGTACACACCTTAAAAATATCAGATATCCTAGACCGTTGTAAAAAGTAATGTCAACAACTACCCCGTACAGTGTCTAAGTTCAGGATGTACCGCTGGGGAATCCCTTACTTGGATCTCAGATAGTTACTGGTTTACGGAATCTCTGCATGCTTTTATAAATGCTGTCTTTTAGCTGAGCCCACAAGCACATAACTGAGACCTCATCAGCCCTGCTCAGACTTCACCCTGCACGCCACCTATCACAGTGACACCGGGAAAGCTTACAGGGAGAGCAGATCCTCCCGCACTCAGGTAAATGCGTTAGCACGAGCCCTCGCTGTTTCAAGAAACGCTCCTTGAGAAATGTGATGCTCTCAAGCGCCTGCGGAGTGCTCTGCAGGCTGTGAAGGAAGCGGCCTGAGCGAGAGCCAGGCGGCCGGGACGTTCGTCCCCACTCTGCCTGTGGCTGCTGTCAGCCCGCGGGCGGGTCTGCCACCTCTCTGAGCCGAGGCTCCCCCTGGAGGTCGGGGCGGTCCTAGTGGCTGAGTGACAGGGTCACCTGGAGGATTCAGGGAGGGGCTGTGCAGTCTCCTCCGAACCAGGCAGGGGACAGAGAGTCCCAGCACCCGCCTTTTCCTCGCGCTCCTCAGCCTCCTCAGCCTCCTCCCGTCCTGAACACTTTGCCTGGACCCAGATTACTTCTCGTGGCTCGTTGTGAGATCGGTCTAACGATATAGTGAGTTTTATGATGGTGAGGGATCAAACTATTAGATCTGTTACACCACGTAACAGAGAATGCTGTTCCGATTTTTAAAAAGCTTATGTAGTAAGGAAACAAGAAGCAAAACAACTCAGCGGAAGTTCGCTAGCCTCCCTTCGGGCATCTGCAGTGCGCCCATTCCAGGCGCACCGAGCACAGGGCAGGCAGATCGGCAACGTGCTACCTCTGGAGCTGCAGAAATGACCCGTTACAAGGTAACATGGGGCCCACCCCTTTCCCCTCGTGTTCATTGTGCTCAAGTGCACTTCTGTAACAAAGCTGCTTGAACGAAATGGTAACGATCGGGATACATGGTGGTTTTTAAAAGGCTGCATCGGTGTCACGACTGCAGTGGATTTAGCAGCACGGTGTTTGGCTGCGTTTCTACAGCAGGACGGGGGGCCCATGCTGTGCCAGACGCCGAGGGGCACTGCGGAAAGAAGCCTGAGGACCAGCAAGGTCACTGCCCTCTGTGGTGGCCGGGGACCCTGAAGAAGGCGATGTAAAGGGACTGCAGAGGTCAAGAAGCAGAGCTCCAAGGGGACGGCAGGGCGGGGCCTTCGGGGCTGAAGCTGTGAAGGTCGTTCTCCGGTGCCCTACAACTTTTCAAGATGAAAGGCGAAAGTCTGGGCCTAGGGGCAGCACGCGCGCAGAACCAGGAGGACAGTGTGCGAGGCCGGTGTGTGCTGGGGTGGCCGGGCGCAGAGAGGGGACACCTGGGGCTCCCGAGGCTGGACAGCGGTTGTAACGTGCCCCTTCTAGCCATGGCAAGGGCCTACACCTGACCGCAAAGGGGCACAGGTCACTAATAACCTCCTCAGCAGTCTGCTTTCTCAATGGAGTACAAGGGCCGACATGGTCTATTCATGATTTTTTAAAAATGGGGTGGCTTCTGTGTAAGTGAAGCGCTACAATTAGGGGACGCTAGACAGGATGGGCTACAGGGGAGCAACTGCATTTGATGGGACAGCCTGCCCGGGGCGGAAGGAGGGAAAGCCCTGCCTTTCTGGAGGGATGGTGGGTGGTGCCATTCACTGAAGCCCATAAAAGTTTTGCATATTCAGGAGACACCAAGGGGAGATGTGCGGTTGCCGGCTGGGCACAGCTATGTGGACTGCAGAGCCAAGATCTGGACTGGAGATCAGAGGACATCAGCAAGGAAACATTCAAAGACCTCAAAAAGGATTAGGCCACACAGAGAGAGGATGCACCTAGAAAGGATAACTAGCACCAGGACGGCACCCTTGGGAATGCCAGTATTCAAAGGGACATAAACCAGCGAAGAAACGTGAATGTGGCCAGGAAGGAAAATCACGAGAAGGAGCCTTTCTAGAAACACAGAGAGAAGGACGGATAGAGAAAGACAAAACTGGCCCCTGGGGAAAAGTACACAGAGGTTAAGATGAAAACCAGGCAGTTCATGGGACCTGTGAGCACGGGAGCCCGCAGAGACGCTGCACGGTACCGCGGAGTCCAGCAGACCAAAGGACGACAGCAAACAGGAGGGGAGGATGCAGGCAGCAGGGAAGACAACTCCTTTTGACAGATTTCGCTACACAAGGGAGCAGAGATACCAGACAGCCGAGGAGGGGTCCCAGATGTGAGGATAAGTGGGGTCCTGTGTCAAAGGGATTAAACTGAGGGATCCTTGAAGGCCCACTGTGTGCTGTTAGGCATAATCTAGTCCTGAGACAGATATTGTTGATTCTGTAAAGAAAAGGCATAAAGAAGTAAAATCCTAAAAAAAAAGAGAGAGAGAGAGAAAAGACATGGGGTGTGTGTTCCCAGGGTGCAGAAGTTGACCGGCTTATGGATTTGGTGGTGCTACAAGCTCACTTCTGATAGCTTTTGATTTCTGCAATGAAGGATGAGATGAGAGGGCAGAGAGAAGGTCAAAGCGGGCGACTGAGGTGGTCTGAGAGGTGGGAAAACAGATTCCCCAGGGCAGCAGCGGTAGGGTTACTTCGCCTTATAAACCCCCTTGAGATCTGTGGCCATCAGTTTAAAGGAAAACCACTTATCCCAGTAACGCGCATATCAGACACTGGGGTGACTACTCTCTCCGTGTGTGGAACCCCCGGAGTACACAGTAGTCGAGGGACAGGATCCTAAAGCGTCCCCTGTGGATTTCTTGGGTGCCTAAGACGCTGAGCGAGGAATTCACGGCTCCGTGACTACGTTAGTTAAACCTGTATCCACTAGCAGTCACTCAGACACCCACACCACTCATTTAAAGTCAGCATCATTTTGGTAAAATAGAGAATCCATAGCATTTAAAAAGTAATACTCTTTAAATTAGTGAAGTGAAATAAGACATCAGAGTAGTTACTAAGGACCGAAAAGATAATCAATTAAGGAAGTAAAGATTTTCTCACGACCAGTCTGCCAAGCATAAAGCAGACGCTCCTGATTGGCTGTGAATGTGGGTGATGCACAGCCCAGGAGAGAACACACACTTCGGGGGTCCATACAGGGCCACCCAGAGCCCCTTCTCCTAAATTCTGAATCATAGTGACTCCCCAGGGCCCACAGAAGACTAGGGTCTATTATCCCACATACCAGGAATTTGATGATGATGATTTTCCTCTTAACTTACTAGAAATCATGCCTAACTTTACAGAATGTTGAAAAAGGTACAAAAGACGTCACCTCCCTGTCCAGGTTCACCTGTTGTTTCATGTGCTTCGCTTGCTTCATCGTTTGTTCCCCTCTCTCACCCTAAAAGTTTCCCAGCCATTGGGTGGCACACGCCCCAGAGAAGTGAGCAAGGGCGTCCTGCTCGCCCCCAGTGCGGAGCCCCAGCCAACTCTTGAGCACACTCACCGTCTTCTGGCCCCTGCTTGTAGCTCTTGTCCTCCATTACTTCATAGTCGAAGCCCAGGAGGTCAATGGGAATCGTGTACTTCCTGGCGTAGTTCTGCTGGGCGCCAGTCAGGAAGGCTTGGGTGAAGAAGAAGCCGGACAGCCAGAAGACCGGGGGAGGCCCCACCTCGTACCATTGCTAGGCAGACAGGACACAAGGGAGCCCATGAGAGCCTGTGCGTGCTGGGACCCAGCCCCGCTGAAGGAGTCGAGTCTGCAGATGCTCTTGTCATCCCACAGAGGAGCCAGACTGAAGTCTTTCCTCACCAAAATACAGTGAGATCCACGTATGGAAACACAGCAGTGTGCAAAGAACTTCTCAAACAACCAGGGCAGCGAGAGCGTAAGGCACTTAGAAATATCGACATAGCTTCATTACCTGTTTGACAAATATTCTAAGCCTGAGCTAGTTAAGTAATGCTTTTAGCTAAACAGGAAATTACAGAAGCCAGAAGAGATGCACTTGGAGTTTCCCCTGTAAGAGCCCAAGGCAGAGCCTAAACTTTCAAGAATAACCTCAAGCCCTTAGCATCTTAATCTCATGCAAGGGAGGATCTGTATTATGAAAGAGGAGTTGAGCTGTTTTATCTGTGCAGCAATTTCCTCAGTGCTTCTGCTGCCTTCCACAGCTTACCTGGGAAACTGCTAATAAGGACACAGCTAAGCACCAACACTGCCAGGTAAATAGTCAGGCTGTGCCGTTCGGCATCCCTCAGTCAGTCAGTCACTGAGGTTACTTCTGTCTTGGCTGAAAAGGCGTCCAGTGATTTCCTGTCTACAGGCGGCCAAGCATGGAGACCTCAGTACGCCCTGCCAGAAGCCTGTCTGCTACAGAGGTCTTTGTAATGCTGAACATTTAATGTGGAAATTGACATGCCGAACATTTCCTCCCCTTCAGGTGTCAGTGACTTGAAGGTCTGATTTCACCACCCATGAACACCTGCTCTCAAAGAAGGTTTCAGGCAGAATTTTTACCTCCCACACCAGTAATCAGACAGTGCAGTGTAACCGTTACTGTTACATGAACTATTAAGTGGTGGCCATCTGTGCCCAGATGTTCAGGGAAGTGGACATTTCGGGGACAAAAAACAAAGCCCAAAGACACTCAGCACGATGCATTCCTTTGGGAAGAACTTACCTGCAAGAATTTTAGTCTCAAAAGGAAGTCATTCACGTAGCTGCCCAGGGGTTTGAGGCTGGGGTAGGACCTGCCCATCCACATGGCCGGGATTTTGACGTTCAGAATGCTGTTCACCACTTCTTCCAGCTCCGTGGACATCACCACCAGCCCCTGAGAGACACTGCGTGTCGTTAACACGGCCGGGAAGCTCCCAGCAGCCCTGCTCTGTTCCTGTCTACAGAGAGCGTGTCTTCTCTTGCCCACGAGTGACACATTCCATTTTTGAACAACTCCCCCACGAAACACCAGGTTGTGCTCTCACCAGATTTCAGCGGCACGAGTTCATCGATACTTGGCCCTCACCGTTAAATCCCAGTCTAGCTCTGACTCCTGTTGCTTGTCTATCAAGTGGAGGATTTCCAGTCAGCCTCTTTAAAGTGACAGTGATGAATATAAAATTGGGAAAATGAGAGGAAATCCTTCAAAAGGTTAAAATATCCTGAAATTCATTTGTGAAGAGCAGGTACCATATTCTGTCAGGAATCACTGGTGCCCACATAGTGAAATTTTGAGGCTGTTACAAGTTGGGACAGTTGTTATGATCATTTCTGGTTTTCCTATAATCAAAAATATTATTCAAAGTATGTATGGAGAAGATTTTAGAGTAAATTTTCCGGACTAAGCAGGCTGATTTTGTGCCTTCTTTTCAAAATTCCACTGAAACACCAGTAAAGGTATAGTTTTTTGTTTGTTTGTTTGTTTGTTTGTTTGTTTGTTTTTGGTACCGGGGATCAAACTCCGGTCCTTGTGCTTGCAAGGCAGGCAAGCAGCACCACTGAGCTAAATCCCTGGGAAGATAGAGTTTTTAAAGGCATAAGCCAGTGATGGCGAACCTTTTAGAGGTAAGTACCCAAACTGCAACCCAATGTGCAATACTGCAATTAAACCTAAATACTGAGGTTTTAGTTTAGAAAAAACAACTCCTACACTAACATCTTTTGTCTTAAAAGAAAGACAACACGAGTGCCATAGGTTCGCCACCACTGGCATAAGGCCACAAATGCAGGAAATAAATAGGAAAAGGGATGATAAATGACAACATTGCTTTGGGAGCTCAAAGGCATAAGGGCTGCTGAAACTTGATCCTGAACTGGCGGGAAGGAAAGCCAAGAACCCGCTAGAAGTTCACAGAGGGCTGCTCCAGATTCTTAAGCACTGATGGCTGAAGATATTTCTGAAAGCTAGGAAAGGACAGTGCTGTGAAAGCTCTTAGAGCTTCTTCCTGCATGGTCCACAGCACCTATTTGAATGAACCCTGGAAAAGCAAATACAGAAGCTCCTAGAGTAGGGGAAGCCTGGTTCAGCTGTGGCCCGGATGTCACAGTGAAGCCAGGGATGCTGGGTGAATGCACAGCAACTGAGCATCAAGGTCCTCAAGGTTTCTTTCCCCCGTTAGCTCCCAGAGTGTTGGAAGTCAGCCTGTCTCTGCCAGAAGAGACAGGAAGAGCCACACAACACACAACAGTTCTCAGTGTTTGAGCCACACAGCCTGACCAGTTCACGCCACAGCAACATGGCATAGTCAACCACCAGCCTTTTGTGGGGTTCACTCCGCATGACAGTTTCCCATCAGCAAACAAAACAGACAGGGAAAATTACCTGAGCCATTATCCCCGTGTGAAGGAGTTTCCAATTAAGTATACAATGTTTAGACATGAAAAGAACTACAGATTTTCTGTTTATTCTCATGCTGCTTTTGTAACAGGTTTCCTTGAGAACTGTCTGCATCATTTACTTTTTTTTTTGGTACTGGCGATTGAACGCAAGTCCTTTCACTTGCAAGGCAGGTGCCGACATCACTGAGCTAAATCCTGGCCCCGTGATTTACATTTTTTAATTTATTGCCATAAACTCTTCATGATGCCATCTGCGGACCCCGTAACCTATAGTATCTACTCTGATGGACTTTTTTCTCTTGCAAGTGAAGTATTTATTTGAAACACTTGTGACCACAAGTATTTCAATTTTGGATTTTTTCAGATTTTGGAACATTTGCATAGATGTAATGAGGTATCTTGAGGGTAGGATTCAAGTCTAAATGTGAAATTCATTTATGTTTCCCATGTACCTTATACACAGCCTGAGATCGTTTCACACAATATTGTTCGGCACCTCTTTTGACTGTGAGGCTGGGTATGGAATTCTACACTTGTTGGCAGTGGAAATTTTGGATTTTGGAGCAACTCAGATTTCAAAATTTTATTATTTTTTTGCTACTTTTTTTTCTTGGTCACTTTTATTAGTGTTTTAACATAAGGACTATTTGGCCTTGAAATGTTTCTTTCCCAAATTGGAGAAATAGGAAGGGAATGACGAAAGACTATGAAAAAAAATTTTTTTAAGTCGTTCATGAGTTAAATGGTCAGATGGGAGAAACCGGCACTCCCAAGTAACCTACGCTCATCAGTATTGCTGAAATATTTGAGTGGCTCCAGTATCTGCCTCCCAAGCACAAGGACTGGAGTTTGATCTCCGGTACAAAAAAAAAACAAAAAACAAAACAAAACCCAAGCTGAGATCATTTATTCATCTCATTTCTAAATATAACCAGTAGGCTTCAGGCTGAGGCTCATCTCCAGCCTGCACTTCCTTCTTGAACCCTAAAGCATGTCATCTAATGGAAACTCAAGTCTCTGTGGAGTGTGGAGTCTCAGAGACTTTAAAAATTCATCTAGCCCAAATTCCTGGGCTCCTCCCTTAAGCCCGATCCTTCTCCAGAACTTTCGCTTGCTTAGGCCAGACATGCAGGAGTCACCCCGACCCCTCTGTGATTCCCATAACCTTACCCGGCAGACTGCTGTGGCCAAGAACACACACAGCCACGTCTCTCGGCCACAAGTGACAAGCCCGGTAGGCGACGACAGCCACGCCAGGGCCCTGTCTCGATGCCTCCTGTTTGTTCCCCATCAACCCTTCTAAAGGAGTCCGAGTGAATGTTAAAAATGTAAAATAGATCACTGCACACCACTGTTTAAAGCCTTCAGAAGCCTTTACCTCTGGGTTTCATGTCATATCCAGATCCCAACATAGCCTACTGCACCGGCAGGACCAGGCCTGACTCTGTACCTCAGCACTCTCTGGTTGCACGGCTCTTGGTGCCCCTGGACCAGGCCCAGCCCTGCTTCTCCGGCTGTTACACATGCGAGGCCCCTTCTCAGAATGCTCTTCCCTCTGTGGCCCCACAGCTCCCCGTCTGCCTCGTTTAGGCCTTCGTCCTGGCCCGGCTTCCCAGAGGGGCCTGACGGGGAGCTTCCCACCGGCAGACTCTGCCCTCCGGCCTGCTTTGTCTCCCATGGGATCTATCACTACCAACACTGCTCAAGTGTCTTTCTTCTGTCTTTCTTACTCCTCAGTGGTGTCCCCTTAACATGCATACCAAAGCTCTCCATTTCTTACCCATCACCACCGGAATTCTGGAAGCTCTCAAGGACAAGGACAGTCTCCGTCCTCAGAACCAAGAACTAAGTTTGCACACGTCTGTGCCTGAGAGACGGCTGCTGTCTGACTCAGGGGTTTTCATGTGTTATCAATAACCTTACCTTGGGCCGGGGATTTAGCTCAGTGGTTCTGCCTCCTGCCTTGAAAGCGCAAGGACCCAAGTTCGATCCCCGGTACCAAAAAATGAAAAAAACCATCCATCACCTTACCTTGATTGCTTTCTTAATATTAACGCACGACTCTCTGATGGTTGTGAGCAGCTTGTTGAACCGTCCCATCTCCTGGACTAGAATGGTGTTCATGCTCTGGGTGTACGTCGTCGGGTATCTCTGCATCGCAGCCTCAATGTCAAAGTTGCTTGGAAGTTTACCCAGAATATCACAGGCCACCTCACTGACGACCTCTTCTGATGATTTTGTACCAGCGCCTGCCGAACGAGACTGAAGAATCCAGGCTTCGAGTCAGAAATCCTCCCGAAGTTCTAAGAAGAAGCTTTGCAAGAATGCATACTGTTTGGCTGCTTTATTTCTGGTTCGTCTCCACACAGGATTTAGTGAAGTAAGGGTGAGAGTCATGGGGATGGATTTTGGAGGGAAGGCAATTGTGAGAGCAGACGCAAGAGTGAGAGAGGAGGACCTGGAGTGAGCCAGCAGTGGGGGCTCTGCTACACAGGAGCGGAGGGGCAGAGAAGGCGCCCACTCTGCTGGAAGTCGGGTCACACCCCGGCCTCGAAGGCAGAGAGTCAGCTTAGCTCCTCCATGCGGCTGGGAGAGCTGTGGACGAGATGGACACCTGCGATTCGCGCTGCAGGCCAGGAAGAGACTTCCATTCATTCGTGGTTTTTATGCTTCTATGGGCACAGTGTCGATGAATCTATATTTTCCGGAAAAACCTCTTCAGATCTTTAGAGCAAAGGAATGTGCGTGTGTGAGTGTGGACAGGACAGTGCTACTGAATACAAATGAATGTATCTTTCCAGTCCTTGGAAATGGTGTGCAGTCTTCTTTCAGATTTTCTGTTTCCTGGTTTCTACACTACAAATATGAAAAATTCTATAAATCTCTTCTACAAATGTTAAGTATTGTTTTTACTTTTGTTTCTACCTATCACATGCCATTTTAAGATCCTATAAAGTTGCACAATAATATAATTTAGTGTTGTTCAGTTTTAATTATGGGTTAGTTAAAAAAAGGTGTGTTTGTGTAATAACCTTGTACTACAATCCCAAGGAACTTTGTTTACTACTAAGTATATAAAACTAATCATAGAGCACAGAAAAGACAGTGAAGATTTGGCCCAAGTTAGTGAAATATCTATTTACACTGTATTTAAAGAATCATATACTGGCTTCAGTTTATTTTGGACACACACGTGTGCACATGCACACACACACACACACATATGATACCTTAAGGTCATTAAAAAGTCCCTATTTCCTAAGAGCCATGTTCCCCAAAACTCAAAACTAAAAATAAAAACCCAAGGGATGGGGATTTCGATCAGTGGTTCTGCCACCTGCCTTGCAAGCACAAGGTCCCGAGTTTGATTCCCGGTATCCCCACCAAATAATAATCATATGTGCAGGGTGTCAGGTTTTTAAAGTAATGTCCAACTAACATTAAGAATCAAGAGCAAATCAAGTCCCATTTATCTGTAATTGTTTCTTAGTATTTTCCTTTTAACTATCTCTGCCATTATTTTTCTTTTGTTAAAGCAAAGTGGAGTTTATTTCTAAAGAGACATCATAGAATTTAGCCTTTTCGGAGGTCCTAGGCCATTTTAGTTTAGGAATATTTTAAATGGAAATGATTTTCCCACTCAAAAAAGAGTATGGAAGTTGAGCATAAGCCAGAGACCTCTGCCAAGATGGCAGTCTCAGCTCTGAAATCGCCCTTTTTGATTCTTTCAAAATGTTCGACTTAAAAACAGTCACACAGAAGTCTTAGCACCATGAACTTGCTCCCTGCCCCACAGTTCTGGCCTCCTTGCCTCTGCATTGCGACTCTTGGACCTCCTGCGTACCCAGAGCAGTAGCTGCACTTGCCCGTCTGGGCTGGGGGCCCTGGAAGGAGGTGCTTTAGTTACACACCGAGAAGACGCCCTGGGTATCACGCTTATTCGTTTGGGCCTGAGTCGCTGTGCTCCCTACTGTGACATGCCCCATCGGGTCTGAATCAAACCGAGACGAGTAGACGTCCCATTGTCAGACCGCTGTGTGCTGCGCAAAGCTAATGTTCCTAAATATGTGCTTGGTCGAGTTTTTCGTATACTTTTATACCTGCCATGCAAGAACTGATTTTAGTGCTTCCTGTGTGTACAATGGACATAAAAAGGCTTTTTACCTCATTTGAAAATGTCACGGTGGAGTGGACTAGAAACAGGAGCTATGGACTCTTCCGTCACTAATAGCACAAGAACAGCACCTCCAGAGCTCTGCATTTCTCAGAGTCCTTGCTACCTGCCTTCTGGGTCTAACCCAGTTTTAGGCTCTAGAAGAAGAGACTAGAACAGCAATTCAGACGCAGGTTCTGGAGCCTCACCACGGACTCCAGACTGCTTGGCGTGCGTCCTGACTCAACGCTGCTCGCGGTGACTTTGGGAAAACTTCATCTTTCTGTGCCTGTTTTCTACCTGTAAATGGGGGTTCATAAAAGCTCCGCCCTCACGGGACCGTCCAGAGGATGGCAGTGTGATACATACAGGGCTTCGAACAGCACTGACACACGCTCACTACGATGACAACGTTAACCCGTATCAGCCTCACCCAGAGATTCTGGAGAAATCCACCAGCTAGAGTTCAGCTGGTGGAGCAGTGTGCTGGATGGGAGCCCATCCTGATTTACACTGCGGGAACTCTTGCCATTTGGAGCCATCTGCTTCAAAGAACTAAAAAGCCAGCGAGTCAGCACTCTTCTTGAGGGAGGGTGATGCAGGGGAAGCTCTCAGTACACAGCCCGAGTGCGACGAGGGGTCCTGGCCACGCGCACGCCACACCGCTCTGTGCCCTCGGGGGTTAGTTATTCTTCCTGCACTTCCGAGTGCAATTTCATACTGTAGATACTGTGCAATTTCATAAGATATTAGTGTGAGGAACTGTTTCTATGTAAACCAAAAATACTGTGGAGCGTCTTCTAAAGAGGGGTCATTAGAAACAGTGGTTGTTGTTGAATGAGTGGAGACTGGAAAACAACACGAGTAAACTTCTAGATGGAGTCTCTCCGTCTGGACACTCCTGCACCTCGCCAGCCTTGGGCCTGGGGCACCGGGCAGGCCCCGCACACCTCACGCACCTGTGTGAGAAGAATGCTGTCGAACAGCAGCTGCGTTTCGGCCTGGTCCTTCGTGATGTCTGCATTGGCGTTCATCCCAAAGATCTCCGGCGCCGGCGTCAGGGGCAGGGTCTTGGTGTATTCGATGTAGCTTTTGTGCTGTGAAGATGAAGATGGACGAGCCGAGAGGCAGGGAGTCATTACACTGTGGGATTTCTCCCCCAAAAGAGGACTCACAAGGCTCAGGTTAGGGCTCTCATTGTCTGCAAGCCTGGGACAAAGCTTCAAACCAATCTGGATGCATTTTGAGAGAAAGGGGCCTGTGGCATTCAGCTGGGACAGGTTCTTAAACGGGGAGGGAATTCTGGTAACTGAACTCAGAGATTCCTTCAGGCCAACACCCGCCACGTACTAGCCTCCACCACCCCAGAGGACGTCGGGGCTGAGGTGGAGCCATAGGAAGTGTCTCTGTCACTGTGGCCGGGTGTCAGGAGCAGAGAGGCTGCCCGGGAGGTGCCCGAGGTCTACTGTGTGGTGACAGCAGGGAGAGCAGCCTGTGCGGCCTGTGTTGCTTCCTGCTCCTTCTCCCTGGTGGCCTTGCTCCAGTCTCTCAGCCCCAAGGCCTGTGCTTCTCATTTGTACCAGCGCTAAGGTCACACTACCCGCGTTCACCGGTGCTCCCGGGAGTACCCGTACCTGGCCTGTCGGGTGCGAACGTTAGCTGTTACCGTCCCTAACATGTGATAACCCTCCTGTGTGCGCCTTCACTTGAATCTGGGACCAGGTATTTCCACCCCAAGTCCTGGGTTCCCGAGGACACTGTTCAGCTCCCTCAGGTGAGGACGCCCTGCAGCCCCAAGCCCGGGTGTGCCCTGTCCCGGACCAGGGACTGTGCAGGGAGCCCCACCCTGCTTCCCGAAGGGCAGGCACACTCACATCGCCAGCGGGAGGCACGAAGTAGATGCCGCTCGAGTCGAACTGGTAGTCCGCCTTGGCCACCAGCTCGGGGCTGAAGAACTTGTTCAGGATGGTGCGCAGCGTGCGCCGGTCCCAGTCGTCGGTCACGCGGCCCCCGTAATTGCACTCCCCGGTCATGTAGCGCAGCGCGTCGAAGGGCAGGCCCTGGGGTGGGGGGACGAGGTCAGGGGGCCCTGGCCCCAAGTGGGGCGCCGCCTCTGTCCCCCTGCTGACCACGCCGGTGCTGCCAGAGCCCCCAAATCCCAGCCACCCCTGTCGCCCCCTCCTGCTGTCACTTCGCTCCCAGGCAGTGCTGAGACCCGAACCCTTCGTCCACTCTCGAGCGCCTCCCTGCTCAGCT